AGATTATGTGGTATTGGCATAACGACAGACAAATAGATGAATGGGACATTGTGGAGAGTCCTGAAATAAACCCATACATATATGATCAATTGATTTTTTAACAATGTTGCCAAGGCAACTCAATGGGAAAAGAAAAGTCTTTTCAATGAATGGTTCTGGAACAAGTAGATAAATATATAGAAAAAAGTTAACCTTGATCCCTATCTCATACTACACACAAAAATAATTTGAGAGGTATTATATACCTAAACATAAGTTCTAAAATTATCAAGTTTGTAGAAGAACAAAGGGGAATGTCCTTCTAACTCTAGGATGGGCAGAGGTTTCTTAGAGAGGACCCCCCAAATGCTAAACATGTCAAAGAAAAAACTGATAAATTGGTCTTTATCAAAATCAAAAAACTGTTTTTCATCAAAAGACATCATTAAGAGAATAAAAGGGCAATCCACAAACTAGGAAAAAGTATCTGCAGTGCATTTATCTGAAAAAAATTGTGTCGAGGTATGAAGAATTTGTACCTAGAATATATAGAGAATTCCTAGAGCTCAATGATAAAAGGACAAACCACCCAATCTAAAAAATGGGCAAAGGACCTGAACAGACACTTCATAGAAGTATATATGGCCAATAAGCGTAGACAGATGTGCTCAGTACCTTTAGTCATCTGAGAGATGCATATTTAAACCATAACACTCCCTCTAGAATAGCTAAAAATGGAGTAGATGCACAGGACTGACAGGGATGCGGAGAAACCAGAAGTCTTCTGTATTGTTGATAGCAGTGTAAAATGGTCTAGCCATTTGAAAAACTGTTTGGTGGTTCCTTACAATATTAAACACAAACCTACCCTTTAACCCAGCAATTGCACCCCTGGGAATTTACAAAAGAGAAATGGAAACATATGTCACAAAAAAACTTACATGAATGTGTATATCCGCTTTACTCATAATAACCCCAGACTGGAAAGAACACAAATGCTCATCAGTAAGAGACTGGACAAACTGTGGAATATTCATAGATGGAAAACCACTGAGTCATGAGAAAGAACTACTTGGGGCGCCTGGGTGGCTCAGTTGGTTAAGCGACTGCCTTCGGCTCAGGTCATGATCCTGGAGTCCTGGGATCGAGTCCCGCATCGGGCTCCCTGCTCAGCAGGGAGTCTGCTTCTCCCTCTGACCCTCCCCCCTCTCATGTGCTCTCTCTCTCTCTCTCTCATTCTCTCTCTCAAATAAATAAATAAAATCTTTAAAAAAAAAAAAAGAAAGAACTACTGACACACAAATCAACACGGATGCCTTATTTACACAAAAGAAGGCAGACACAAAAAGGTACATTCTGTGTGATTCAATTTATGTAAATTAAAGAACAGGCAGAGTTAATGGATGATGATAATATGGGAACAGTGGTTGCCTGTAGGGGTGGGGACTCTGAAAAGGGGCTTGAGGGCACTTTCTGGAGGAGATGGGAACATTCTATAATCTTAATTGGTGTGATGGTTACACAGGTAGATAACTGATCAGAACTCATGTGCTTAAGCTCTGTGCATTTCACTATACGTTTTACCTTAAAAATAATAAAAAGGATCATAGTGTCTGATGTTTGGGGCAGAGTAGAGGCAGGGAGGCCAGCTGGGAGGCTGTTACGATAGTCCAGGCACAAGGTGGTGGCGGGAGATGTATGAAGTGGCTTGACTTGGGATCTCTTTTCAAGGGAGGGTCAAGGACTGGTTAGCGTAGTAGGCAAGAGTCTCATTCAGCCTGGCCCCAGATGACTGGCCCCTGAAGCCAATTTATTTATTTTATTTATATATTTTACTCTGTCCCTTCTTTTTCTAAAACAATTCAAGGTTAATTATAACAAAGGACATGTATTCTGTTAAGACTGAGAAAACATAACCAAAATAGAAAATTGAAACCAGGAGGTAGAAGCAGGAAATATGCCAGTTTGGGAACTGATAATAGAAAACTAAGAGCAGGAAACTCTTTCTGTCCAGTACCCTTGGCTGGGGCTGCAGATGGGTTGCGAAGGAGGTGGTGGGGGTCTTTTAATATCAGAGAAAAGATGGCTCAAGCTGTGCTGAGTCAAGATGATTTTAGTTGAAGAAGAATATATGACTTGTGGAGACTCTCTGGGCCTATAAAACCAAAAACGCACATTTTTGTAGAACTTGATTTATCACAGAATATTGCATCACAAAGGTCTGATACATGGAGTGCTCTCTAAAGAAATGGGGGGTATTTAGGGAAAACTACCTTTCTTCTGTTTGAGACAATCTATTATGCAGAAATGTAAATAGCTTGGGGTGTAATTTAGGATAAAATATAAGCTTAAGCATATTCTCCATGCGTTTATGGAATCATTATCATTTAAAATTAATACAAACTAATATTCTGACATGGGAATTGAGTTTGGTTTGAATATATCAAGTCTAAATGAAGGCAGCTCTTGATATGTAGAAATACTGCAAAAATGTATGTCAAAAAACACATGTTGATTATTTATTGATCATTATCAGTACAGACAATTTATTATGTTGTCAGTTGAATGAGAGGGGAAACTTGTCAATATTAGACATTCTTTAATTAAGAACATTTAATGAATCAAAAATGAAAGAATTGAAAAAAAGAGAATTTGTGTGGAGAAGATACTAAAAATATATGCCAGTAGGGCAGTCAGTCAGATTAAGCCTAGTCTTAGTTCTGGAAATTTTGCTTGACTTCTTAAAATAAACCAGTCCAAATGAATCCTTAAATCACCATCAGAGGATTAATGGCAAACTCATATTGGCGTTGCCCATCAGATCTAATAGCAAAGATTGCTGACTTGTGCAGAGACTGGGGAAGGAAAATAATCATCATAAATAATTCATAATGCACTAAGATGGCTAAGTTTGGGGTTGATTCTTTAGCAAATGTGATTGAATTTATTTCAAACTGGTGAGTAAAAATGACCACAGTTGGACAGCATTAATGACAAAGGTATGCTCTTGCATCAACAGTATAAATGGAGGGAATGAAATATGAAGAAAACTATAACCAGTTGGGGATTCTGAGGGATTTACTTACTCCTGATGGTTTAGGTTTGGCCACAACAGAGCAGATGGTTTAAGGTAAGGAAAGGTTTGTTGTAATGATGTAGGATGGGGTGACTCTCAGGAAGATCACTTGGGCACTGGGATGTGTTGATTCTGGGGACAAGGCTGGTGGTACAAAATAAGGGTGCACTGACAATAAAGTCTGGGCCACCCAGGGTCCTGGGACTTCTATAAGCTTCAGAGTGAGTGGTGGGGGCAAGATGTCCATATGAGGAATCTGAAGATCTTTTTTTTTTTTTTTAAAGATTTTATTTATTTATTTGAGAGAGAGAGAATGAGAGATAGAGAGCACGAGAGGGAAGAGGGTCAGAGGGAGAAGCAGACTCCCTGCTGAGCAGGGAGCCCGATGCGGGACTCGATCCCGGGACTCCAGGATCATGACCTGAGCCGAAGGCAGTCGCTTAAGCAACTGAGCCACCCAGGGACCCGAGGAATATGAAGATCTTGTTTCTGGCCTTGCTTTTCCACTTACTAGGTGATCCTGGTTGTACAAGTCTTCTGACCTCCTGAGTCTAGACTTTTCTATCTGGTTACATGGGGTCTGTACTTCCTTTCTTGCTTAGCCTCTCATGGAGGGTTGTGAGGATCCACAGGATAGAGGATACATGGGCCCTCTGAAAAAGTCTGCAAATATCCGCTACAGTTTTTTTTTTTTAAATTATTTGCTGATAACTACCTCTCCAGTTAGGATTTTGAAGCTGGAGCCATGCAATAGTTCATGATCAAGCTGGAGTTATTTTAAGAAATAATCAATACAAGATGCACTGGGTTGGAGCCACCATAAGAGTCATAAATCTTGACAGTCTGCTGTTTGATAAAATTAATAATGCTTGAAAGAAACATTGTAAAAACCTACAGGAGGAGAAAACCTAGTGTGTTTTGGGGAAAAAGCTTAAGCCATTGTGGAAACTGAGTCACCCTAGGAAGGTTGGTTACCATCCTGATGCCAGTGGGGCAGTTTTCAGGCACAGGTCCATACAGGCACACACACACGTGTGCACAAACCACACATGTACACACGCACGTACACAAGGGTAACAAGCACCAGCTTTGTTGGCTGGGTCTCAGAAGAGACTGGAGAATAAGGAAGACTAACAATTCCAACAGTGGATAATTGCAACCTGCGCACTCAGGGGCCCACCACCTTCTAAGGAAATGCCGCCTGCCTCTGACTTTTAAAAATGAAATAGCCTCAGGGTTTTTGCCCTGTCTCATTTCTCACTGGTGAAGAGTATGCTTGCCTAGCTTTGGGATTTGTGGCTGTTGTATACAGCGACAGAGAGGAGGGCAGTGAAGGGGGACTGGGACCTCATGGTGTTTAATATACCCAAGCCCTGAGGTGGTCTACGGCTAGAAAGGAAAGTGAAGAGTATTGCTTTTCCCATGTACACAATGTTCCCAAACCTTCCGGATCCTCTGTCTTCCCACCAAGGTTGTCGCGGGGACTGGAGCCAGGCGTCCCCTGTTGGTGGGAGCATTGGTCCACCCCACGTGGAGACGCGGCAGGCCCGTGTTGCTAGGCAGAACCGTCGTTGCTAGGGAGATCCCGCCGTTGCTAGGCAGAAGCATGGAGGGTGTCGGGCTCAGGGAGCCGCGAGGGACAAACTCAGTTAAGGAAGCACAAGGCCCCCGGGGGAGTCTGTCAGCAGCCTGCCCTCCGTGGGGATGAAGTCGACTCTCCTCATAGGTGGTCAGAGACTGGAAGGCCACGTTAAAAACCTGGATGAAAACGTTTATTTCAGTAGGGTCGTGGGCGTATTTAAAATTCAAAAATTGCTTTTATTGCGGTGGAGTTTTATTAGTAAAGTAACATACGTTTATTATGAAGATGGTAAGTTAAACTAAAATGTTAATTTAATTTTAAAATCATAAGGAAACCTTGACATTGGGTTTGTCATGTTTTCAGGCAGAGAAAACAAGGAATTTTGTCAGTCGGAGCCTGGTCATAGGAGAAGTCCTCTCCATAGCGGACATGGCCACAGGAGTAGAGGTGACAGGCTCTGGGCGCCCCGCCCTTCATTAGCTGCTGCTTAGTTTTGAACGGCAAGGAGCACAAAGTAGAACCCCACAGGCGTCAGTCTGTTTACTGGGACAGGTGTTTGTAAAACGGTACACCTTATGACGCATCCCCTCCATTTCCTCTTTAACCATTATATTCAACCTCGTGCTTGTTTGTTCTTGGCTTTTCTTTTTGTCTAGTTGTACTGCACTGTCAAACAATTATTTTCATTTGTTTTAATTTTTAGAAAAAGTCTCACATGATTTACTTTCTTCGCTTGCATGTGATCACCAAGATCAATCCGTATTGTGGCATGCCACGCCTTCGTACCTGTTTTTTTAAGTATTTTTATTTTGAAATAATAATGCTCACAGGAAGTTATGAGAATAATACGTAGAGTTATATGAACTCTTTACTCAGTTTCCCTCTGTAGTGCCATCTTATACAGCTATAATGCAGTGTAAAAGTAGTAAGTCACCACAGCTACAGTACTGTTCTAGTACAGTACTAGACTATAGACCTTCTTCAGATTTCACTAGCTTTTACATACACCCCAGCATATGTGTGTGTGTGTGTGTGTGTGTGTGTGTGTGCGCGCGCGCGCGCACAGTTCTATGCAGTTTGGTTCTGTATATGGATTCATGCTGTTTCATCACCACAAAGAAACTTACAGTGCTACCCATTTGCAGTTGCACGCAGTCCCCACCTCATTCTTGTTCTTAGGCTACCACTAATCTATTCTCTATAGTTTCACCATTTTGAGAATGATATATGGATGGAAGTTCATTCATTTCTCATATTCCTTTGTGTGAATATGCTACAATGCTTGGAATTCTTAGCCTTCTTCATTTTTGCTGTTCATATGGGTATAAAATGGCATTGCACCATGGACTTGCTTTGGGTATCCCAGCTCATCAGGAATGGTGAACAGAATAGTCCAGCGGGTGTGATGACCAGGGCTCCTCATGGTACCCTGAGTCCCCAGTGGAGGGCCATTTGTGGAGGCCTGCATATGCTCTCCTTTCTCTCCCTGGACACCACTGTGCCTGCATCCAAACATTCAGTCCTGATGTCCCCAAAGGGGAGAAATTACTAGAACATGAAGAGAATGATCAGACAGGAAAGTCAGGTCAATCATTGGTGAGTCCAAAATGGCAGTTATTTTTGTTTTTGCCTTGTAGACATCTAAAAATGAGTAGGAATTGAAAACAAAGAAAATTGTGAGTTCATCGGTGGTGAAGGCACCCACCATTAGATCCTTTGGGGGACTGGCTTCCCTGTGATTTCAGCCGGGTCTCTTCCCTCCTAGTTAGGTTGGCTGTGGCTTCCAGACAGAAGAAATTCAGCTGAGATGCAACAAATAGATTCCCCTCTCAGAAATACTAGAGTTCCCTGATCCTGATCTAGACTCATGATCCTCAGTTTGTGTTTTTTCCATACTGCTCTCTACCTTCTTCTTTTCAGCAAGTGTGTGGTGGGATATGACCATGCAGAAATCCCCGCTGGGTGTTCCAGCATTCTAGGTGGGGAACCCTCTGCTCGGCATCTTTAGGGTCTTGCATTGACCCTAGTGCCTAGAATTACACAGGGAATGTTTGAATGAATAAGGGAGGAGCAGCCTGCAGTTTAAAGCAGACTTAAGACACATTTCGACCACTTGCAATGTGTGGACATTATTTAGATTCCGGTTCAAACAAACCTTAAAGAAAAACTATGTGTCAGTGGGGGAAATGTAAACATTAGATATTCGATCATATTAAAGAATTATATTTTTAGGTGGGGTAATGGTTTTAGGGTTACATTTTTAGAAAGACTATCATTTACCGATGTATAGGACATATTTAGGGATGAAATGACAGGATGTCTGGGATAAACTTTAAGATTACCTGGGATGTAGAGTGGGAAAGTGGATTGGGGGATAAAGCAAAATGGACCATGAGCTGGTCATAGCTGAGTTCATTACACTCTTGGATTTTGGTTGAAATTTTCCAAAATAAAAAGCTTTTAAAAAACTTTTGCTCCTGAGTATCCTAGAAGAAAATATGAATAGATTTAAAGATAGGTCTTGGGGCACCTGGTGGTTCAGTCAAGCGTCTGACTCTTGATTTTGGTTCAGGTCGTGATCTCAGGGTCATGGGATCGAGCCTGCATCAGGCTCTGGGCTCAGCAGGGAGTCTGCTGGAGATTCTCTCTCTCTCCCTCTCCCTCTTCCCTACCCCCCCATTGCTCTCTCTTTCTCAAATAAATAAATCTTTTAAAAAAAGAAAGAAATAGGTCTTTAAAAATGCTTCTCTGATCGTGTCACTCCTCCGCTTAAAACTTCTTCTCCTTATGCTTTAGAGAAGCCCTCCTATTTTTGATATAGCCCATGGATTCTTGTGTGGTTTGGCCCTACTCGCTTCTCCAGATACCTTCTGTCTCACTTTGTCCTCCTCCCTAGGAGACCTGACATATTGGCCTTCTTTCATTCTTCTCATCCACTTTTGGGCCACTCTTGCCATCACCCTAGAATGGAATTTTCCCCCTCCTTCACCTGCCTGACGCCTGGTCATTCTTCAAGTCCCAGACCAAGTGTCCTCCCCTCAGGGAAGCCTCCCTCAAGCCTGCAGTTTAAATCCTATCTACTTGTCATCTGTCTTTGTACCTTTCAGTTGTCTGCCACAGTATGTGCCTGCTTTGATCTTTTGAATTTAGTCATGTGTCTAATTGCCGTACGTCTCTTAGCACCACTAGAGAGCAAATTTCTTGAAGACTATCATCCCCTACATTCTTGTTATATAGTGTCAATACAGGAGAATTAAATGAATATATAGAATCGAAATGGGCTTACTAGCAAGGTTAAATGTAGAATTACCATATGACTCAGGAAATCCATTCCTAGGTATATACCCCCAAAAATTGAAAACAGGGACTCAAACAGATACTTGTATGCCAGTGTTCATTGCAGCATTATTCACAATAGCTAAAGGGTGGAAACAAACCAAATGTCTGTCAACAGAAGAACGGATAAACAAAATGTACATACATATGACGGAATGAACTTCTGGTACATGTTACAACATGGATGAACTTTGAAAACATGACTCTAAGTGAAATAAGCCAGACACAACAGGACAAATATTGTATGATTCCACTTACATGAAATTTCTTGAATAGGCAAATTCGTAGAGACAGAAAGCAGATTATGGGTTACAAGAGGCTGGAGGAGCAAAAGAATGGGGAGTGGTGGCAGGGCACAGAGTTCCTGTTTGGGGTGATGAAAAAGTTTTGGAGATAGACAGTGGTGATGGTCTCACAACAGTGTGAATCTAATTCATACCATTGAATTGTATACGTAATAAATGGCTTAAACGCAAACTATATTAAATGCATTGTGCCACAATAAAAAAAAACTTTAAAAATTTAACAAAAGTTATCATGAATGCTGTTTGCTTTCCCACACATCATTCATTGCAGAGGACTTGTTTTTCTTGTGCTTGGATATCCCAGACAGTTAGAAGAATGTGTAGATGGTGCTCCGGAGTCCAGCCCGGAGGGCCGTTGTCTGTCTTTCCTTTGGGCAATGGAGGGAGATGTGGTGTGCTCAGAACAGTTCCTGTGAGCCCTGGGTTGGTCAGGGTATCCCCAGACCTCGCTGCCAGCCTACGAGCAGCTGGTAGCCTCTACCTGCTTTCCTTTTACACCTGCACGTGGGCTGGCTGTCAGCCTGACGAGGGAGTGTCCGCAGCAGTTCATCTAAGTCATCTATGCCCCACAGGCCTGGGCCCCTTTTCTCTCTCCCACCATGTCTGTGTTATCCAAAGGCTCTGGGTGTCCCTGAGTGTTTTAGACAAACATAGTTGGACTAACACAGCCAAGTGGTGGCAGGGCCAGGGGCTGGCTCTGAGAATGACTCACAGTGAGGTTGGGGTGGGGGGTGGGGTGGGAAAGTGAGAGGTGCCAAGAAAAGACTTCCTTTACTGAGGGCTTTGAATCCCTGCTTTAGCTTGGGAGCCAGCCCAAGGTCTTCTACCAGACATGCTGATGTAGTTCTGGAGGGACTCTAGGGCCCAAAGAAATATGACATTCTTCCTTTTCTTCTTCCCTATGACTATTCCCTTTTTTCTTTATCTGAACCACCCTACTGTCTGTCTTAGTTTGTTTGGTCTGCCATGATAAAATACTATAGTTCATGTGGCTTAAATAACAGAAATTAGAGGCTGGCAAGATCAAGGTCCAGCTGATTCAATTCCTGGTGAGGACTCTTCCTGTAGATGGCTGCCTTCTTACTGTGTCCTCACATTGGGTTTGGGCAGAGAGAGACAGACAGAGAGAGCACTCTCTGGTATCTCTTATAAGGGCACTAATCCCATCATGAAGGTTCCACTCATGACCTCATTTAAATTTAATTAGTTCCCAAAGACCCCATATCCCATATCCTAATACCATCACATTGAGGGTTAAGTCTTCAGCATATGCATTTTGGGGGAAAGCCAATGCAGTCCACAGCACTATCCTTTCTGGGGTCACCATTGTGTCAAAAACCACTTGCAGTGCCTCAGTGTGTTCCATTTGCTCTTGGAATGAAAAGAGCTGAAGGTACTTGAACGTTCTTTAGGGGACCCGCTGTTGGACTATGGTGTAGGAAGGGCCCGGCCTATCATAGCCATTACACCGGCAGACTTCCTGGCATGCATGACAGACCTGCCTGGTCCATCGTGGCAGGGAGACAGAATGACGTGGGTTTACTTCCTGTCTCTAGGACTTTACAGTCAAAGTTCACGAACATTTCTTTAATCTAAGTTCATGATGGGCGACCTTTGTTTTCTCTTCTGCTAATGCCCATTCATGGGCTGTGTTCAGATTTAAATTGATGATGCCTATGAGGAGCTGCATGCTATGGCTGACATGTAGCAGGAGCTTGATAAGTGGCCAGGATGGTACTCCCCCAAGATGTGGCCCAGAACCCTTCCTAGCAGTCTTCTAGGTAGTGGCTCAGTCAGTGGATTGAGGTGAAATCAACCTGTGTTCCAGCTCCAGCCAACTTGCTTTCCCTGCCATGGTGGGACATGTTAGTCATCATTTGGCAGTGAAGAGGCCCCATCCTTGAACCCCCTCAACCTGCCCTGACCGCAGTTCCCAGCCCTCGGGTAGCTCTGACCATGGCCTCCAGAGGCTACTGCCAGCCATCATTGGGCATGTTGTGCTCATGACCTCATGTACCTGATGTAGCTGTCCTCCTCCTCCTCCAGAAGAGTGAGAAAGGAGAGAGGGAGCTTTCCCAAACAAACAGTGCAAGGTGGGTATAGGTTTAGAGATTTTGTTAGGTGTCCTCCCCTTTGTTTTATTTCCTTGCCACTGTTTTCTTTGGTCTTTCTCAGAACAAATAGACTTCTCTGGGTCCTGTCTGCTGAGGTGGGCTGGAGGCCAGGGTGCCCACTGGGCAGTGAAGGCAGCGAGAGGACACTTGGCCCTGCTCCCTTGTGATAGGTTAGTGCCCTACTTCATTCAGTTTCTGCATCCCTGTCTTAGTGAATCCGACCCCTCCTCCCTGCCTCCTCTTGCAAGTAACCCCTCACCCGGCCCCCACCAAGCAGTTAATGGCCTTTCATCCATCTGGAGTCTCAGGCTAAAAACTCAGGTGTCACCTAGAGTCCTCTCTTGCCTTCTTCTCCCAAATCCAGCCCATCAGCTCTCTCTCCAGAATCTACCTTGAATACCCTTACTTCTCACCAACGCAGTCTGGCCACTGCTCACTGGCTTACCTCAGTGGTTGTTTGGTGGGCACCTCCTTTCTGCTGGCTGGGCTGGGGTCCATGCTCCTCAGAGGAGGCCCCTGCTGAAAGCTTGGGTCAGGCGAGAGAGTCATTTGCTTGGAACCCTCAGGTGCTTCCCCTGCATCGGCCCCATTGGGTCAGATTATCTGCCTTTCAGAGAATGTGGCTTTGGCAACACACTGACCAGCACTTAGGGGAAAATCCTCACATTTTAAGTGACTGTGTGGATTGGGGTCACGCAGATACCACCTGTTAGCTACTGCAGTTTCTGCAAACCTACAAGTTTCCTTCACCAGCCCAGTGCTCTTACTAATGACATTTAATGAATGGAAGTTTTCAAAAATGTGGATAAAATATTCTCCCCAACCCCCCTTTCTAAAGAGGAGGAAGGATTTAAAATCTAGAGAAGGAATATATTTGTAAATAATGCATTAGCCACCAACTAGAGAGATTGAGGGGTGGAAAATTCAACCTGTTTTAGTTTTAGAAAAATGCTTTTTTTAACTTGATTTCCAAGATGATTAATGGGGGGAAAAATCACTATTTGGATTGATTGCATCTTCCTGAGGTTGGAATTAGTAATGTGATTTTCAGTGTCATGATGATCCCGAGGATGCTTAATGATTCTCCAAATGAAAGCACTTCATATGTCAGATGTGATTAATGAAATCCGTCTGTCATGATGTCAGAGCTGTTAAAGTTGGTGAAGTGCCCTTTCAGACAGTTAGTGCCAGGCCAATCACACATGTGGAGTGTGGGGACTGGTTCTTGCCAGAGGCTGGTGACAGTTCTTGGGCGGGAGCATCTGAAGATTCCATTCCTGCCATTTCCCTTCCTGCAGGGTCTTCCTTAGGGTTACTGTGTCCACTAAAGCTCATTCAACTGTAATGACCCCAGTGAAAAAGGGTATACCTATTGGCTGTTGTAACTGAAGAGTCCAGAGTGCAGCAGGTGTGGATATGTGGGACCTGGTCTCTCTCATGTCTCTGCTTTGTCTCCTTCTACCTACTGTGACTTCATGTGTTGGTTTCATACACCAGCTCTCATGATGGCAAGAGCAGCCAGCAGCACTAGGCCTCCATACTTCCAGATTTCATTGCAATGAAAAAGAGAGAGCTTCTTTTGCCTACTAGCTCACCCATGTGTCCCAGAGGATGCTATGGTTGGACCCACCCAGAGCACAGGTCTATGCTGAAGCCATCCCCTGTGGCCAGGATATTATAGATATTATGCAGGTTGGCCAGTCCTGGTCCTAGGCTCATCCTAGAGTTGGGGGTGGAGGTCAACATCAGCCACAAACCACTTGGACTGACTGTGGGAGAGGAGGGCTCCCCAGAGGAAAGCTGGGGTTGGGTGGCCGGGCAGAGGAAGGCATGCTAATCTGCAGACACAGCCAGTGTCTATACACTTGAGCTCTTCTGTCTTTGTCATCAGTCCCCTACTCCCCTCAAATGGCCCCACTCCAGCTACCCTTCCTTCTCATCTTCCTTCTCATCTTCCTCCTCATCTTCCTCCTCCTCCACTTCCTCCTTGCCAGTAATACTTTTCCAGGGTTTATAAGAGACCAAAGTACTTGGCAGTTGACCGTCACTGAATTCTCGCAGCAACCTTATGAAGTGCTATTAGGCATTAGGCAGCTTGGGTTTGGACCCCAGGCCTGCTCACCCTCTCAGGGTACAGCCTTGGACAGGTCACTCCTCTCTCTGAACCTCAGTGTCCTTGTCTGTCAAGTGCGGGTGATGAGATGTTTTTCCCAGCGTGATTGTGAGAATCCTAGTGGGCTTGTGTGTATGAAGCTCAAAGCTTAGAAGGGTGACTGTTCAGTAAGTGGGAGCACTCATCACGCACTGCATTTGTCAGATGTGGAAACTGAGGATTGCCATTTGTCGAAGGCTCCTCAGCCAGTGGGTAGCTGAGGGGTGCTTTGAGCCCAGGCTGTCTCATCCCTGGCTGAGTGCCTGCTCATTATGCAGCATTGCATTTTTCATCCGCTTTCCTGTTTGCTGACTGTTTCTCATGGTAGGGCTCAGCTCTGCGGACTGGACCAGTGCCTGGGATCAGTGCACAAATACTTTGTTACACACCTTCTACATACCAGGCACTAAGCTAGCCCCTGAGCAGATGCGGCTGACTGAACGTTCAGAAGTGTCACTTGAGAGAAAAACAAAACTGGAGGCATCACAATTCCAGATTTCAAGTTATATTACAAAGTTGTAGTAATTAAAACTGTATGTGTTACTGGCATAAAAATAGAGATGTACATCAATGGAATAGAACAGAAAACCCAGAAATAAACCCACAGTTATATGGTCAATTAATCTTTGACAAAGGAGGAATGACTATACAATGGGAAAAAGACAGTCTCTTCAACAAATGGTGTTGGGAAAACTAGACAGCCACATGTAGAAAAATGAAACTGGACCACTTTCACCATACACAAAAATAAGCTCAAAATGGATTGAAGAACATAAATGTGAGACATGAAACCATAAAAATACGAGAAGACAAAACAGGCAGTAATCTTTCTGACCTTGGCTGTGGCAACATTTTTCTAGATATGTCTCCTGAGGCAAGGCACATAAAAGCAAAAATAAATTATTTGTGACTACCTCAAAAAAAAAAAATGTTTCTGCACAGTGAAAGAAACAATCAACAAAACTAGTCAGCCTACTGAATGGGAAAATATATTTGTAAATGACATATTCAATAAAGGATTAATATTCAAAATACCTAAAGAACTAATACAACTCAATACCCCCAAAACAAATAATTCAATTAAAAAATGGGCAGAAGGCATGAATAGACATTTCTTCAAAGAAGACACACAGATGGCCAGCAAGCACATGAAAAGGTGCTCAATATCACTCATCGTTAGGGAAATGCAAATCAAAACTACAATGAGATATCACCTCACACCTGTCAGAATGGCTAAAATCAAAAACACAGGAAACAGGTGTCGGCGAGGATGTGGAGAAAAAGGAACCCTCGTGCACTGCTGGTGGGAATGTGAACTGGTGCAGTCACTGTAAGATATGGTATAGTTTTCTCAAAAAGTTAAAAATAGAAACTACCCTACAATCTAGTAATTGCACTACTGGGTATTTACTCCCAAAATACAAAAACACTAATTCGAAGGGATACTTACACCTCTATGTTTATAGCAGCATTATCTACAATAGCCAAATTATGGAAGCAGCCCAAGTGTCCATCGACTGATGAATGGATAAAGACGATGTGGTGTATATGTGCAGTGGAATATTACTCAGCCATAAAAAAGAATGAAATCTTGCCATTTGCAACAACATAGATGGAGCTAAAGAGTACAATGCTAAGCAAAATAAGTCAGAGAAAGACAAATACCATATGATTTCACTCATATGTGGAATTTAAGAAACAAAACAAATGAGAAAAGGAAAAAAAAAGAGAGAGACAAACTAAGAAACAGACTCTTAACTACAGAGAACAAACTGATGGTTACTGAGAGGTGGGTGAGGGGATGGGGGAAACAGGGGCACCTGGGTGGCTCAGTCGTTAAGCGTCTGCCTTCGGCTCAGGTCATGGTCCCAGGGTCCTGGGATCGAGCCCCGCATCGGGCTCCCTGCTCCGCAGGAAGCCTGCTTCTCCCTCTCCCATTCCCCCTGCTTGTGTTCCCTCTCTCGCTGTGTCTCTCTCTGTCAAATAAATAAAGTCTTAAAAAAAAAAAAAAAAGAAATGGGATGGGGATTAAAGAGTGAACTTATCATGATGAAATAAAATGAAAAAAAAAGTAATTTGGTGGGCTGAACTGGATGAAGGACTGATGCTTTGTGGTGTTGGGGTGGCCTGTCCAAGAGAGACAACCATGAACTATGCCTGCAGAAAGGAACTGGAGCATCCCAGGCAATAAAGGGGAAGGGCATGGATGCTTTGCCACTTGTGGGGCTTATGTAAAGCTTGATGAGCTGAACAAATTCTCCTTGAATGGAGTTTGGCCAGGGGTTTAGTTGTCATTAAATTGTTGACTGTCGCTAACAATGGTCTATATTGTCCTTGTTTTCAGTGTGGAATAATTTATTGGCTATTTGGTGGTGCCGTCAGGAACCTTGGAAGCCCAGAACATGTCACTAAGTGGCTTCAGCCACTCCAGGTATGGCAGGTACCTCAATAGATGTCTTCTTCTATGGAGAGCCTTAATTCGTACTAACTAGATGTGTACGTGTGTGCATGTTTGCAGAGAAAGAAAATAAACAAGAGAATTAGTGTCAGTGAGAATCTTGTTCAGAATGAGAATTTCAAGACTATTTTTTAAAAGAATTGTCATGTTGTTATCACATTAGCTGTTACCAGGCTGAACTCTTAGAATTATCTCCAACTCACCGCTCCCTCTCTCACGCACATCCTTGATGATCAGAGGTCTGCAGTTAGAGCAAGCATCTGACAAGCTAATTCCCTTCTAATATTTGGTAAACTCCAGGAGCAGCAATACACTGGGATGTTTGCAATGACCGAGAGGGAACATGGGAGCAACGTGAGAGGGATCCAGACTGAAGCCACCTTTGACCTCTCTGCACAGGTGAGGATTCTGCCCATCGTTTCGCAGTTCAGAGCGGCAGGAAACCTGTTGAGGACCAGACTCTCCTTCTTCCTGAGGTCAACCTCACATCCTCTGTGTGTGCTCTCTGGCCTGAGGCACTCAGATTTAGAACAATTGCCCAAGCGCTTTAGTGGAGGGAGACATATGCTAAGCCTTCATGTGTCTAATGTCAGACAACATTTCTCAGCACCTACCATGTGCGGGCACTGCTTTGCGCACTTTACCTGCTCTTGTTAATTGGACGCCTTGTGACAACTCTGTGAGAACAGTACCAGTGCCATTTTGTCATCCTTCCCACCCGCAACGAGTAAATGACTGGAAGAGATGCTTTTGTTTGTATTCCCCTTTGCACCGTGTTGCAGGAGGGCACGGTGTGCGCTGGTGTTTCCTTACCAGGAACCAAGCCCTCATTACTGGCAGGAAGCAGTGTTTTTAACCGTGACTGACAGGAAAATTCACATGGCAACCCAAACAGGATCTCACAAAACAATCTTGCTTTTACTATCATTAGTATATGTGGTGAACTTCATTAGTTTCCCTTCCATTCTCATTAATAAAAAACAGTTCGTCAAGACACTCTAAATTGATCCCTCTCCATGAATGTGTTACAGTCTGCAGGGCGAAATCACTGCTCTATAAATCTAAAGAAGTCTCTATTTCTTTAGCTCCTACTCCCTCCGAATAAAGAAACTATTTACTTCTTTCACTCTCCTTCATAGTTCCTTGTTTGATATTGGGTTTTCCTAAGAATGACAAAGGAATACATAAATTTTGAAGTTCTTTCTAGACATGGGTTTGGGTAAATATACGTGTGCAAGCATGGGGCAGGGGTGTAGGTGTGGCTACTCAGTCTATTCTTCATTTTTGCTGAGTTTGTCCTTTAGAATCTGAACTTTGGTTAGCAGGTTTTCCTGCCCCATAAGTGCTAGTTAGAGGTGATCAGGGTTTAGAATGACAGATTCAAGCGAGGGTTGTGTTGGAATATGTTCATCCTGTCCTCCTGCCCAGATGCTAGTTCTCTACAATAGTCAGTGATGTCCAAGGTCATACATAGCAAGAATAAGGACTGAACTGAATGCTCACTATGTGCCAGGCTCTGTATCGAACACCTTCTGTATACTTTACCTTATTCCCTCGCAATAACCATCCCATAACATGACGGTAAGCCACTTCTGGTAATTTATCACATGTTGCTAGACATCAGGCTAAGCACTCTACGTGTAACATTGTGTTAAATATCCTATAGTTTTCTAGGAAGATACTATTGTCCCTAATTGTTAGGTGGAGAAACTGAGGCTCTGATAGGTTAGGAAACTGACTCTGCATCTGCAGTTAATGAGCGAGTCTGCTTCAAGTGAGACTGCCCCTAAGAGCTTAGCTTTCCTGCCAATGGTGACGTGCCAACCAAACATCTTTTGAGTGTTTGGTTGGTCAGTTTTTTCTTTCCCTAAACCACGGTAGTGAGGTCACCCTGCTCTCATTAAAGGGGAAAAAAGAAACCCCACCCAGAATTCTTATTTGTTTCTTCTGACAGTTATTATTTTTCCCCCACAAAAATCATTTCCCTGGGCGGGTCCCATTTTCCCCAGGCGGGTCCCATTTTCCTCAAACAGCATAAATGATTTAGCTACCTGGCGTGCTTTGGCAGCTGTTGCCTTCTGCAGGGGAGTTACAAAGCTGCAGTCATCATGGTGAGGAGACTCCGGTGAACGCTCTTTCTCCGGTGGGAGTGAGAGGGAGAATAAGCCCATCATAAACTCAGGCCATTGAGGATTGATATAACGGGGAATGGATTTCTCCTTCATTGCTTTCAGTGTTTCCCCCTTCATTTCCCTTTTAAAATGGGAGAGCATATCAAATGAGCCCTCTCTCCCTCAAGGACTGTTTCAATCTCTTACATGTTTTGGTTATTCATTTCTGTGGGTTGGCTGTTTTATTTTTATTTTTGGACAGTGGCTCAGGTAGTGGTAGGGATAATTAAGAGGTAACAGAGAATTTTAGTTTTATAGTTTATGCTAAATAGCAAAAATGAGGCTACAGGCTCTTTGGGCAAAGCCTTTTTTTTTTTTTTTTTTTTTTAGTGCTTACAGTACTGACCATTTTGTTGGCCTTCAACAACTAATTATGGTAGGAACCGACACACATGGTGTGCATTATTTAGATCACACTTTAATGCCAGCATTTTGACTTGTGCAGACTTTCCCAAATCAAGGTTTTTGCCAGAAGTGACAAGCCTTCTTTCCCAGAGCGTATCAGATGTTTATGGGGATGGATGGCCTCCTGCCTCTTCCCTATCCCACCAGATCTTTGCTGCCAGGTCAATGTTACTCTGCTACTTCCCTTCCTAGCCTCGAGGGGTAAGCGTCCCTTCACCACACGGGGTTTTTTGTGTGTGGTGTTTTTGTTGTGGTTGTTACTGCACCCAGCCTCAAATAATTCCTTTCTTTGAGCAATCCTGGCTGGCCTGATAAGACAAGGGCAGTCTCCGGGGACTTCTCTTAAAAAGATTCAGCTTGTCCATTTATGTTTCTGAAAAGCGCTTGCACATGTTAAAAGTTTCCTTGTGCAAACACATGTCAGAGAATGTTTTCTTAGGCTTCAAGAATGTATTTCTTGGCCAGTGGGAAAGTATAGTCCATAGACTTTAAAATCTGAACTCTGAGATAATCTTTACATGATCAATCGCTTGCTGGTTTAGTTCAGTGACCTCTTCGATATTGTCAGCTCCAATTAGATGTGCAGTTCTGCTCTTTTGCCATTTCCCCTGGATTCCCTGACCTGCCCCAGGGACCGTGTATTCAGAGCTGGCAGTTACTGTGAGTACCTCCTTGACAAGAGGTTTCAGGGTAAGCCGGGTGGCGAGCTGAATCAGAAGTGAAGAAGGGAGCATTTCTATTGTGATTCTGCACTGGCTTCCCAAGAGGAGGAGAAAGAAGACCCAGGTTAAGCAGAGCCTGAAAACAAAAACCCTGCATCTTTTTCTTGACCAATGTTAATTTCAGACTGTTTGGAGCTGAAATCCTTGGTCATCTGATGGAGACAAACTGGGTGGCATATTCTAAGATTCTTTCGCCTATAAGATAGAGAATTATTTACAAATGCTTCAATTTAAGGGCTTACGCATTTGGGGGGAACTTTTAATTATTCTATTCATTGATCAAGAAAATGGAGTGGCAGGATCTGAACCAATCATCCAAAGGCTCAAATGAGGTTTTTTTTTCCTTTTATAAAAATCACGATTGTGTGGGCTGAGATTCTAAGCAGTGGTGGGAATAGGTCATGGGCGCCTACTAATCTTGCTTGCATTTCCAGCATACAGTTTGGGCCTTCAGTTAGTTGCCATTTAAACAACAGAGCCATATCATTGAGGCAGAGATTTTCAAGGCCTGGGCAAGAGTGGAGGGCATGAGGAACCAAGTGATTTGTCCAGAAGGCGCAATGCCCAGCAGACAAGATAAAACACACAGACATGGACTCATCCACCTAGGGGCCCCAGATCCTTAGACGTGTCATCCTTTCTTGTGTGAACCTTGACGGTGGGGTGTTTGGGAGTGAGAGCTGAGTATATTATCCCCAGGGGCTTGGGGGTTTTGTCTTCTCTTCTGCCGTGAAATCACCTGATTGCGTCCTGCGAGAGGATGTGGGATCTGTTTCACAGTAATCATTGTACTGAGCCAAGGAGTCGAGATGAGCCATAGGAAAGGAAAACTCTATCACTCTTTTTCTGTGTAGGAGTTTGTGATCAACACACCATGTGAAAATGCTGAGAAGATGCACATTGGAAATGCGATGTATGCGAATTATGCCGCCGTCTTCGCTCAGCTCATCATAAACGGAAGATCGCAAGGTTTGTGCTGGTGCAGAGAGCTAGAATAATTCTCTTTACTCTTACTACTTTCCAGCAAGCACTTTACCTTGAAAAGTGCACTTCACAGCACTGGTTTTATCTTGTATAAACTCAGTGCCAACTTTATTTCTTCAGTATACACGGTGACTGAATTTATTATGACATTTTGGCATTACAGTCGTCCCCTCCCCCCCTTACGTGCAGTTTTGCTTTCCACGGTTTCAGTTACCTGCTGTCCGCTGCAGTCTGGAAGCAGATGATGGTCAGAGGGTTGGTACTAGTGTCACACTCTGTCACAGCACCTACATCATTCCTGCTCCTCGTCTCATTACATAGGAAGGAAAACACGTGGCATATATAGGGTTCGGTACTTTCTTTGGTTTCAGGCATTCACCCCGGTCTTGGAATGTATCCCCTGTGGACACGGGAGGACTACGGTATACACTATTATATGCAGTGCACAGCCCTAGAACTGACTGAATTTCAGGATCAACACAATTTGTAGACTGTTCCAGGAAATGAATAAAGCTTTAACTGTAGCTTTAGAAAAGAGAGTTTAGCAACTGTCCCTCTGCCTTCCTCAGGGCCCCACTGTTTCATTGTTCCTGTCCGCGATGAAAACGGAAGCTTGTACGCGGGAGTGACAGCTATTGATATGATGTACAAGGAAGGTGAGTCCTCAGGTGACACCATTTCTACCCTCATTTGCACTTCCTGCCTGCTCCCTGCCCCATCCAAGAAGGGTCTAACCTAACTCACCAAGACAGTGAAGGCAGAGATTCTTTGATTTTGAAGCCTGATGGAAGTCTTTTATGTCACAACTGTTGGGGAATGTTGAAGATTGCCATTTATGAATATGCATTGGTCTTATTTTCTCCCAGCCTCTCATATTTCCCAGTTGTGAGGCAGCTTTTGCCTTGAGTAATTTCGCCTCCTCTCTTCTTCTTGGACTTGTGGGCTCTCAGACAGCAGGTTGAGGCTCTCTTTTTCCTGCCCCTGAGCCACAGCCTGGTGTTGGTGCCTAGGAGGCCCTTGATGAATCCCGAGGACCGACTCGGGGGACGAGTTTGCTGTTGTAATGGCTTAAACAGCAGAATGTATTGGCTTGTGGTTCTGGAGGCTATAAGTCCAAGATCAAGGTGATGCCAGGGTTGGTTCCTTCTGAGGGTTGTGAGGGAGAGTCTGTTCCAAGCCTCTCTCCTTAGCTTGTAGATGGTGTCTTCATGCTTGCGTGGTGTTCTTCCTCCTTGTGTGTGTGTGTGTTTCTAAATTTCCCCTTTTGTAAGAACACCAGTCCTTTGGATTAGGACTGACCTCTTTTAATTTGATTATCTCTGTAAAGACCCTATCTACAAATAAGGTCACATCCATAAGTACTTGGGTTTAGAACTCAAACGTGTGAATTTTTGAGGGGTGGGAAAGGGATGCAATTCGACCTATGACAATCGGTGAGAGCAGGCCATACCTGTGGGCCCCACTGGTTGTCCCCAGCCAAGGCCAAACCAAGCCAAAGAAACAGGTGGGAGAAGAAGGAAAAAGAAACAAAAAGAGAAAAGGGGGAAGGAGATGATTCTTTGGTGGAGGGGATAGTCTCACCTCGGCCCTTGGTGTTTACCGACCACTGCCACAGCTGCGGGAATGGGCTGCAAGTGGGATTGTGAGTGCTCTAACTGTATCTCTCAGGGGTGACTGAGGCCCTCGCTGGCCTTGTCCCTTGAAAGCACCCATCGAGTCAAGTGTTGATGAGAGCAGAGGGCCCAGCTCTTGTGAAGGGGTGCCAGACATTTAAAACACTGGCAACTTCAGAAAGTCTGCTTTGATTTCCTTGTAAGCTCCTAAATGCCACTGTATCCTTGTCAAGGTGTGAAGTTCCAAATAAAGACGTTTACTAAAGATTTTTTTTTTCCCTCAGCTCAAATCTTCCCAAGTGTGAGATAAACAAAAAGTAGACCCCAGACTCTGACAGGCGTCATTAGGAAACAGGTCCGGTGGTTTTTAGGAACCTTCTGGGGAGTCAGGTCACTGACCCCAGTCAGTCGCAGCTGTCCTTGTCTTTTTAGGCATTTGACTTCACTACCCCTTGTTCTCGGAAGGAAGCCCTGGGAGGGAGGAGAAACTTGACGTCTGTATTATTGGGGGAGTAGGTGGCTTTCTTGCCTTCTCTGCGTTTGCCCCGGCATTGCTTCTGATGCCTAGGGCTCCTCCTTTCCAAGTCGCAGCACCCAGATCCTCCACCTGAGCCCAGGAGCACAGAAAGCTCAGCTCTTCGAGAAGACCAACAGAGAGCGTCCCCGCCCCCACCCCATCTAGAGAAGCATCAGCCATCCTGGGAGTAAAGGGAAGGGTTTGGGATTTTAGTGGAGAAGTAGCAGGAAAGTAGTTCTGATGCTAGCACAGATTTGTCCCCTGCAGCTGTTTTCTGCTCTCTCTAGGTCTGCACGGTGTGGATAATGGGATCTTAATATTTCACAAGGTTCGGATACCAAGGGAGAACCTGCTGGATAAGTGAGTACTTTTCACTTTAACTCAGATTGGCTGTGCGTATGATCTCATTGCTCTCCCAAGCTAGGCCTGGCGCCTGGGTCTCGTGGGCTGCACGTCCAGGCTGTCTGCCAGCCCCTCCTACAAGTTTATTGACCATCCATTGGAAAATGTAGATAAGAAAACAGAAAAAAATTAAAATTATCCAAAGATATAATGATTGTTACGCACACTTGAATGTATAACTCTCTAGACTTTTTTTCCATGCTGGCGTATCAACAGAGAGAGGTGTGTTTGATTTTTACTGAATGAGATCCACTTATAAATTCTATTTTTTACAACTCGCAATTTCTATTTAGCATTATGTCAGATGTTTTTATGCGACAGGAAATACATATATACATTTTCACTTTCAATATGGCCATGATAGACAAATAAATGATCTATAATTTATGTAATCTATCCTTATTGTTGGGCAATGTAGATTGTTTCCTTAAATTTTTTTGTTGTTGTTGCTATTACACACCAGGCAGTGTTCTTGCCTCCTTTGCAGGTGGCAGGAGGTAAGGTACCACCTTTCAGCTTAGGAGGCTCTTGTAACCAGTGCTGCTTGGATGGATGGATAGATAATGTTAGAGGTGCTCAGTGTCATTTCCCAGCATCCCACTGACGTCAGGGTGGGTTAAACGATGAGGAGAAGGCTGCTTCTGCAGGGGCATTTTAGGAGTGGAGCTCTAGGGGTTCACATTACACTTTGCAGAGGCCAAGAAACACCAGTTACTGTGACTTTTCTCAACAGCATTTCATGTATCCAATAAAATTCCTGATCTCTATACATATTGGAATCTGTGAAAAAACTAGCAATCAAGCTCTGCATAATCAGGTTTACTATAGATTTTCCTTTAACACTTCATTCCTTTTCTTTGCCTGCACACTCTCGCCAGCAGATAAATGTCATGGATGCCAAAAGTTTAAGAAAAATATGTGGGAAACAAATTCTGTTAACCACCCCCCTGCTCCCCGGGGAATGGGTAGGAAATAAAATGGAAATGACGAAAGCATCTTTGCAGTTAATCCTGGTGTGTGGGGAAGCCTTTAAGTCCCCTCAGGAGCCACCAGTGCCCAGGGCAGCAGGCCTGAACACCATCAGCCTTCCCCAGAGGTGCCTGCACATTTTCCAGTCACTTAGCTGCAGCACTACACTCTGGGAGCTGGGGAAGAGGGAAGGAAAGCTATAGATGTAGAGCTCCCCATGTGTCCCACCTTCATGAGATCTCAGTGGCCTGGCCAGTCTGCCAGAAGCTGGATCCATTGGCTCATCCTTCATCCAATGCATTAGAGATTAGAAAGTTAGATCCAGCCAGAAAAAAAAAAAAAAGTGATACTGAGCTACATGATCTGTAGAAGATAGGAGAATATATGGATTTTTTTGATAAGCAGGGTTTTATTTTAAGCCATTCTCTTGGCACTTAAACTGCCCCCAATATGCCAGAGAACAGCAGTGGAAACACAGGCATTTTGAAGGAGGAGCCCCATTTTGGGGGTGTTGATAAAAAGTGGATCAGTAAACAGATGTTCAGATTCATTGCCATCCTTGTCAAAATCCCAGTTGCCCCCGCTTTTTTTGCAGAAATTGAGAAACTGATCTTAAAATTTATATGGCAACACAAGAGAGTCAGAATAGCCAAAACAATCTTGCTAAAGAAGAACAAAGTAGGAGACTTACACTTCTGATCTGAAAATTTACTACAAATTTACAGTAATTGAGATGGTGTGGCAGTATAGTGGATCCCCCTGAAAGCAGGTGGGAAGTAAAAAAGAAAAAAAAAAGAAAAAACCCACTGTGGTGTTGGCATAAGAATAAATAGGTAGGCAATGAAATGGAATGGAGAGTCTAGGAATAAATTCTTACATTTGTGGTAAATTAATATTCAATAAGGGTAATAAGACTATTTAATGGGGGAAAGAGTAGTCTTTTCAACAAATGGTACTGGGACAACTGGACATCCACATGCAAAAGCATAAAATTGGACTCTTATCTTGTCCCGTATACAAAAATGAACTCAAAATGGATCACAGATATAGATGTAAGGGCCAAAACTGTAAAGCTCTTAGAAGAAAGCATAGGTGTGAATCTTTGTGGCCTTGATTAAGCGCCAAAAGCATAAGCAACCAAAGAAAAAAAGAGATAAATTGGACTTCATCAAAATTAAAAAACTTTTGCACCTCAAAGGACACTATGAAGAAAGTGAAAAGACAATGCACAGAAAGGAAGAAAATATTTGGAAATCACATATATTGTAATATATATGATACATATATATCATCTATATCATTTGCAAATCATATGTGTATATATATCATATATATATATATATATAGCATCCAGAATACAAAAGGAACAACAATTAAAAGACAAATGACCCAGTTGAAAAATGGGCAAAAATCTGAATAGACATTTCTTTGAAGAAGATATGCAAATGGCTAGTGAACACATGAAAAGATGCTCAACATCATTGTCATTAGGGAAATGCCAACCAAAACCACAATGAGATATCACTTTGCACCTGCTCAGATGGCTGTAATAAAAGAGACAGACCATAATAACGGTTGGCGAGGATGTGGAGAAATTTAAACCCTCATACATTGGTGGTGGGGATGAAAATGGTGTTGCTGATTTGGAAAAGAGTTTGGCACTTCTTCAAAAGTTTAAATTTTTCATATGAGCCAATTCTGCTCCTAGTTATGTGTGAAAACATTGTTCACAAGAGAATTGAAAACATGTCTGCACTAAAATGTGTACACAATTGTTCATAGCATAATTATTCATAATAGCCATAAAAGGGGAAACAACCCAAATATCTATCAACTGATGAATGGATAAACAAAATATGTGTATCAGTACAATGACTTATCACTGGGCCATAAACAGGAATGAAGTACAAACATGCCACAACATGCATGAACCTTGAGAACAGTGAGCTGAGTAAAAGAAGGCACACACAAAAGCCACATATTGTACGATTCCACTGATGGGAAACATCCAGAATAGACAAATCCATAGAGATAGAAAGTAGATTGATGGGTGCCAGGGCCTGGAGTGTGATGAGTATGGGGAGTGACTGCTAATAGTAGGCGGTTTCTTTTGGGGGTGATGAAATGTTTTGGAATTGGACAGTGGTAATGGTTGTTCAAGTTTGTGAATGTCCTAAAAACCACTGAATTGCACATTTTAAGAGGGGGGATTTTATGGAATGTGAATTATATATCAACAACAAAAGAGTGGATTGATGTGTGGTCTTCACATTCAGGCTCCAGTGTTGGTTTAATGATGGTGGTCCCCACGCTTCTTTTTGCCAGGGGCCCCTGCTGATCACAGGTTGGTGGTGGCACGAAACCTGCTTTTGCTGTCCGTGAGTCAAGCTTTGGTCAGGATCTCCTGGGGAGACTTTTCCCCCATCCCCGACTCTGATGTCTCATAAGGGTAGTTCCTGGATCTGGAAACCCTGTGTGTGCATATAGCATCATTTCTAGTGGTGCCATGTTCTTCTTTTTTGTTAACCCTACTCCTCTTTTCCACCTGCCTCTTCCCTACCAGAGGTTTGGTTCTGTGGCTCCAGATGGGCAGTACCATTCCCCTATTAAGAACAAGAGTGCAAGATTCAATGTGATGCTGGCAGCGCTGACCCCTTCGAGATTAGCTGTGACTTTCCAAGCTATGGGTGCCATGAAGGTAGTTGACTCTGATTTTAATTTACATCACGGTTTATTCTCTGCATGTTCCAGGGGTGGGTAACAATTTCAGGAGCTGAGCTTCCTGAGCCACAGTTGATATAATGTGGCTAGGGTTAATGGTTAGATACTAATAAGTGCCAATTGGCCACATACAGAGAACATTTCTGCACCCTTCTTATCATGGGATCCTATCCATCTACATCTCAGATGTGCTGCTGATTACGGTGGGTGGAACATAGGCATTGTGGTAAAAGAGCCACAAAGGATGAACTTGGGGGGACTGGGTCATTCAGATCAAATGCCTCTGCTAGAAAAGCAGCTAAGAGCTGACACGTGAGGGAAGGCCAGCGTGTCTCAGCTGAGTTCATTGGGGAGCTTTGATGGTCACATGGCTGTTTGGAGTATGGCATTCAGCATCACAAGTTGGAGTCCATGAAGCCAGATCCCTAGAAGGCAACTCTACCTCCCTTCCTCTCACACCTTCCCAAATACTGATTTGGAAAGAGCAGCCAGGAGAGGAAAGTTCTGGAAGGGCCTTCTCTTCCTCCTCTTCCTCCTGTTCCTCCTCCCCTTCCTCCTCAAGGCTCAGCATTGTCTGTTTGCTGGGCCCTTTCCATCTCTTTGAATGAGGGAAAAACCTGCTTTAAGCTCCACTGAGGTTAGTGAAGCTGGAAGAAACATTAAGAAACCCATGAATATACATTGTGGCTCGAATCCAACTTTTCCATCAAGAAGGAATAAATTTCATTCACCTGACTCCAGGCCTCACGTCAGCACACAGTTGTCTGATGAGCAGGAAAATTCTTCTTTACTCTTTTCTACCAGGTTGGTCCTGCTTCCCAGGAAGCCTGCCTGACAGGAGCTGCCCTGTGTTTTGTGTTTCCTGCCAGTTGGTACAACTGTGATGCTGTAAAGACTGACGCTCATTACTAAGCCAGTGACCTCATGCCAATGGGCACTGCTTCCTGCACTTGTGTTCCTGTGGTTCTTAAAGGGTGTTGAGTTCTGAAGTCCCGCATCAGGAACGGCTCAGCCGGTTGGTCCCCTTGGCTGAATCGTCTGACAAATGAATGAGGCCCCAGGGAAGCCTTATGATGAAGGCACAGAGGTGAGGCCAAGACTATGCACAGGATCAGAGTGCTAAGGAAGACTTCTTCTTCAAGTCTGTAATAGAAACCATTTCAGCCATTTGGGGACTCCAGAAAGAGGCAAAAGGAGAGAAGTCAGTGAGCTGAGAATTACACTGTAGAGAAGCTGGGACAAAAATCAGATCCAGGATTATCTGGTACCTTGATGGCAGTCTGCACAATAGCCCCTCTGCTGGCAGTGGCCTTGGGGAGCTCGGTGAACACGAAAGCCCCTGCTGGCTGCGGTGGCCTAGGTGCAGAAAGCCTGTGCCTGATGTCTCCGAGGGGGCGGTGGTGTGTGGAGGATGCCCACGCTGTCAGGAGGCCCATCAGCTCTTCCAGGCTCCTGGTGGAGTCCTGAGGGGCAGGCACAGGGTAGCAGAGACAGGGAAGCAGCAGGGCCTTCTGGAAGAGACTTTGTTTCTCAGCATCACCACAGCTGGAGCCGGGAGGGTGGGGGAGAGGAGACCATGGCTGATTTTTAAAAGGTCCTCGTTCTCCATTCTACCAAACATTGGCAACGTAGAGGCCTTATCTTGATCATAGAACAGAGAACCGAGGGCTCAAATCTCAGCCAGGACTTGACCAGCAGTGGGGTCATGGGTGAATCAGGAGGCCTCGTTAAGCCTCAGCTTCTTCATCTGTACAATGGACCTGCGATAATGGTGAGGCAGGAGTGAGTAGAGGTGTGTGCGGCGCCGGCCTAGAGCGAATGTTCGGTAGCTCAGAGCTGTTACTGATGTGATGCCTGGGTCGCTGCTGCTGTTACTGTGTTAGCTGTAAGACAGGAATAAGTGGGCTTTTATTGAAACACATGCCACCCTGGCCTCCAGGTAACAAGGCAGTCTGGAAGGTTTTGCAGAAGCGTGCAGTTTCCTTTGGATTCCCGTGCCTCTGAAGCAAAACAGAGAGGCTGTGAGTCAGCACCTGCCCTGCCCAGGAGGCAGATTTGCCCAGTGACAGGGAGATCCCCTCGTGGAGCCTGTGAGCCCCGGGCGCTGCATGGTGCAGGCACCACCAATGTGGTCAGCCCTGATGGTCAGCGACCCTGGCCATTGTGATCTCATTGCGAGCGTCTCGGGCGGGGATGATCTCACCAGCCCTCTTGGCATCTCCTCCTCTCCTATGGCTCAAACACATGACAGATGTTTTCTCGGCTGAAACCTAAGACGGGCCTGCTTGTTCTGTTCTCGCTGATGTGTGGAAAAATGGATCCTTTTCTCCTACGTGCATTCCTTATGTATTAGAAAACTGTCACCGCGGCTCCCCATGGTGACATTTGCTCAAGGCTGAGCATGCCTGGGTCTTTTAAACTTTGCCCAGATGTCTTATTTTTCATGGTTATCTCTCATTTCCATAGTTTCTCAGTACTTTCAGATTTTCTCTTAAAGCCTTGCCTTAATAGCCTTCCTCCAATTTGTGTCCAAAGCATTGTGCCAGATTAAATGATTAGCAGGAACAAAAGGAAAAGGAAACCAAGACATTTGGCCTGGGTGGGAGGTGGGGGCTCGGGAGAGCTCTGCAGCCGAAGTGGGGAGGCTGGGAAGCCTTTTCAGAAGGAGGAAGGAAGCTGGGGAAAGTCACCGTGAGTTTGGAGGCGGAAGCAGAGGGAGCGTGAAATGTGGAGGTCTAGCCCAAGGTTTGGGTTGATTTTTGTATGGAAGTAAGTATTTCAGCATGAGACAAGCTTGTTCCTCACTCTCCAAAGAGTCTCCCTAGTCTTTTAAAGTAGGTGCTACACAGTAGTGGGGGCCCTTCCCCAGAGTCCTGAGCAGTTCTGGGTGAGGGTGGGGCCACGGCCGGTGAGTCTGCATTTCCAGCAAGTTCCCCAGTGTTGCGGACGTTACTGGTTGGGCACCACATTTGGAGAACCCCTGCACAGAGCAGATGGATACAGTCATAGATTCCTGGCCCCATCCCAGCCACCTTGTCCTCGTCCTGGGCACCCAGTGCCTCCAAGATCATGGCCCAATTCTCTGCCCATCTCCAGCCCCTTCCATGACTTCTCACCCGGCCTCCCTCTCACATGCCTGTGCTGTCTAGCGCGCCCACCCCCACTTTTCACATGATTAGTGTTCATGTACAAGTCAGTGCTCAGGCGAGTGTCCCTTCTTCAGAAAGGTCACAGCCTACATGTGGTCCCTCTGTCATGTTTTCAAGGCCCTGTACTCCCCCTTGCAGCATTTATTATGGTTTTGACCAGCTAACGGTGTGATTGGCTGTTTCTGTGTCCTTGCCAGCCTAAAAGCTCCATGCAGCCAGGACCCTGCTGGCCGCATTCCCTGCTGGGTCTTCAGCTTCCCACATGGCATGGCACGAAGTAGGAACACAGTAAATAAGAGTTGGTAGAATGAATGAAGAATGAATTAGGGGTGCCCGCGTGGCTCAGTCAGTTAAGTGTCTGCCTTCGGCTCAGGTCATGATCTCAGGGTCCTGGGATCGAGCCCCATGTTTGGGCTCCCTGCTCAGTGGGGAGCCTGCTTCTCCCTCTGTCCTTCCCCCTGCTTGTTCTCTCTCTCTCTCTCTATCAAATAAATAAATAAAATCTTAAAAAAAGGAATGAATCAGAATTCACAAACTGAACACCTGACATAGTTCTTGGGAGAGGTAAGTGTTCAATAGATGTTTATCCTGTGCCCCACACCCCAGAGGAGTTCCTCAGCTCATTCCAGGGTGGCAGGAAGGAAAGATATTGCTAACTCTTCCTTCTGACTCTACACGTAATATGTGCTTTACAGGTGTTAACTTATTTCTCCTCATAACAGCTCTGAGGGGGTTCCATTGGTATGTGGGGAAACTCAGGCATGAGGAGGTTAAAGAATTTGTCCAAGGTGGGCACTGAATATACACAGGTTGACTCTGCTGGTCCTCGTTAAGGGAGATGGCCACATATTTGGAAGGATGGTCATAGCATGTTGTGTAGATAAGGTTGACATGTAGATATTATTGAGAGATATGGTTGGATTCAGTGGGAACAAGGGCAGGCCAATGCAGTACATGAAGACTAAGAAGTTGGAGGTGCTAGGGCATGTTCATGAGCTGCTGAAGTAGCTGAGTTACAACTGTGGGTCATAGAAGGTCACGAGCTGGCCTGTGAATCGTCGGGTTAGGAAGACTCTCACCACAGCCCTTAACCAGGACTGCGTCTGGTGGGAGCCACGCTCCTCCTCCTCACCTTATCCTACTGCCAGTGCTGAAGCAGGCAAAGGGAAGATGTCCCACATGAAGTTGTTCGGGTGAGATGTGTGGGATTGACATGCATGGAAACAGCTGGAATGTTGTGCTTACTGTAGACCACAGCAAGGCCATTAACAGCATGTACTCTGGAATCGGCTTCTTGGATTTGCAGCCTGCTTCTGTTTGACCTCGGCAAGTTGCCGAGCCTCTCCACACCTCTAAATATAATGATAGCACTCCCTCCTAGAGCTGTTGTAAAGCCTGGGTGGGTCCGTACCTGGAAGGGGCTTCTGCAGTGCCCGCATACACTACATCGTCCATACGTGGAGGCTGGTATTATATTATTATAAGGGATGTGGGAGCTATATATTCAGTTTCGGTACTATTGATCATGAAAACGACATCGGAGGCTATGAGGATACCACACTCGATTGGTAACACATGCTCAGCCCTCTGTGGTAGTGGTGCTTGAGCTAACAGTAGGGACTTATGAGGCTGAGCCTGGATGTGGCTGAAAGATGTCTGTGGTCACGGTTGGCTGTGGATATGGGATGGGGAGAAGAGACGTCCGTGCCATCTGACTTTCTTCCTGGGGTTCAATAAAGGACACATGGTCCTGAGAGAAGAGTGGTGAGAGTGAATGACCATCTTTGAGTCATAAAAGGTTGCGGTGTGTATGATGGTGGATAACTTT